CAAGTACGGTGCCAGATATTCCGAACATGTCCGACAAACGACTCAACATGATGTTGTTGTCTAAAGTATCAAATGCTGCAGAGAGGTCTAAAAGTGAGAGAATGGATATCAAACCCTCATCTGCAGCATTGAGTAGATCATAGACAATTCTGAGCAAAGCAGTCTCAGCACTATGGTTTTCTCTATATACCGATTGAAATGGCTCAAACAAGTTATTCTTTGAGAGGTGATCTTTAAGTTGTGCAAGAACAACTTTTTCCAAAACTTTGGAAAGAAAAGGTAAGTTTGATACTGGACGGTAGTTCTTTAGGTCATTAGGGTCAAGCCCAGGTTTTTTAATCAGGGGTGAGCTAGATGCTGTTTTGAAGCATGGTGGAACTGTACCCTCGCTTAATATTGTGTTCACAATTGAAGTTATAACATTAATAACATCGTCAATATGACTGAGCAATAAGTCAGTAGGCATTGGGTCTAAATGACAGGATTTTGGAGGGCATGCCATAACAGTGTCTTTCACAAATTCACGACTAACTGACTTGAATGTTTCAAGAGGTTCACCATTAAATGGTTCAGACATTGAGATGTTACTTGTCTTGTTCTCTGAGCCTAATCCTTGCCGAATTTGGACAACCTTGTTATGGAAGTAAGTACAGAATTTGTCTGGCAGTGTTTTCATTGGAACATTGTTTGGCATATATATATATATATATATATATATATATATATATATATATATATATATATATATATATATATATATATATATATATAATTATATATATATTATATCTATATCTAAAATTATATTTTATATATATTATTATATATTATATAATATTATATTACAATATAATTGATGTGTATATATTATATGTTTGTATGCTTATAAGTACGATCATATAATTGTGGCCAAGAGACGCTGGCAGGTCGGAAGTTACCGAAGGAGAGCCAAAGAGAGGAAAAATGTTATGCTGAATAAATTGTTTTTCTAAACGATGTGAAACTATATACAACCACAGTCCTGGACGACCAGCCGCAGACTGGTTTTGAAGAGCGATTTACTGTGCTTGGCGTCCTCTAAACACCAAACCATCAGTTGGCGTTCGTCTGATGATAGAGTTTAGCGCGACGGCGCCCTAACGAGCTGTAAAATGGTGCATGTTAACAGGATTACTTCCGCCCTGGCTCGATCTCACCCCCCGTGCATGCCGCCAGTCGTCAGTGTTGTACTGCACTAAATCAACTGGATGCAGCACAGAGCGGGCAGTTTACCTGATTAGTCTCCCCAGAATCTGTCCAAAAAGGGATTCTCTGACTGCAAGTTTACTAGTTCGGACTCCCGTATGCAGGTACATGTACACACCCATAACTGCACAGGCCTCTGTTACTAGCACTTATTATTAATATTACCGACTAGAACTTCACCAAAATACACTTCAACATTACAATAAAATAAGGCGGAATAAATCAAACAACCAAACACTCCTTACCAATTCATTCTCGCAAAGCCACTCCATAAATTCCCCCCCCCCCCGTAAAAAGAAAAACCCAAATAAATAACCAACAACCCCCCAAAAAAAACCCAACAACAACAACGACAAAACACAACAACAACAAACAAACCAACCAAACAAACAATTAAACCTCCAACCAAATAATAAACAAACCAAAAGCGAAAATTCAAACGAAACAAAACAAAAAATATAACAAAACAAATAATCAACAACATCAAACAGCAAGAGACAACAACAGCAGCAACAAAAACAGCAATAGCAACAACAACAACAACAACAACATTAACAAGAACAACAATAACAGCAACAACAGCAACAACAATTTCATCAGCACAACAGTGAAAGGAAGAAGACCGAAATAAAATATAAACGTTCAGAAAAAGAAAAGAAAAAGCTGCTGCATTGGAATCAACCTTATAACTAGCCTTGCACTTTCAATCAGCGCACTAATCGACCAAATAAGAACAGTATGGAGCACACATGTGTATATTATTTATGCTGACACACGCTTTGCACCAACCTCTTTTGAAATTGCTGAAGAGCACAAGTTCAACTCACTTATTAAAATCACCCTGCGCCCATCACTTTGTTCCCTTTGCTTGCTGCCTTTATTCTAATATATTGACTGTATTTCTTCGGTTAACTAACTTTAGGATCAAGAGGTCTGGGGAAGAAACATCGTGAACGGGGGGGGGGGGGGGGGGGGGGGGGGGGGGAGGGGAGGCAGGGGGGGACTAAACGTATTCTCAACGGAGACTGGGGTACCTACAGCTTCTTTCTGTGCTCAGGCGTGGTTAACGTAGATAGATAGGTGAGTTTACTTATGACTTTTATTGCGAACAAGAATCTTTATTCTGTCAAATTCCTGATTTCATTTTTAGCTTATTTTAAACTAGCATCTGCGTTTGTTGCCAATTTTTGGATCCAAAAGTTGTCAAAAGTTGCCACAAAAATGGCAAAAGTTGCCAAAAAAGTTGCCAATAATTTTCAAGCTTTCAACTCTCTGTGACAACGTATAGCAATATGTTGATAGAGATAATTTAATCTAAAACACCAGAATTTCTTGTGCTCTGTTTAAGCATCCAGAATATCATTTGCAGCCACACAGAGTGCTTAGTTTTAGTACATGTAGAGGTTTACGGCGCTCGCAACTTCATAAGGTCATATGAGCGCCAGAAGATTAGAGGTCTTACAAGAGAGTAACAAACATAAAAAGAAGAAGCTGGGGAGATAAGGACGATAGATGTTTCATAGGAAAGAAGAAGCAAACCACACCAGAGCACCCGCCAACCACCCACACACAGAGTGTAAAAACGAGAAAAATAAAGGTTTCACAACAGAATGAAATCAAAATTAGAACAGCAAAAAAAAAAAACCAACCACAAAAATTAACAAATTAGGGCGTGTGTCAACCCATCCATAGACTGGCCGTTTTAACCCTAATGTGCGTAATTCAAGAAAAAGTACAGGATCTAACGTGTAGATCATGGAATCACACACAAGGAGCCTGCCAGTGTCAGTATTCCTTTAAGGTGGAGACACGCTGTAACATAAAGTTCTATAACACATTTTAAAAAAAAGGTAGGAAGAACATTACGCTATATAAACAAACAAAAAATGGAAAAAACATCAAATCAGAACAATAACGAAAAAAAAAAAAATGAACACACCAACAAAGAAAAAACACAACAAAGAGGGAAACATGAAAGAGAAACAGCAATATAGTATGTAACGTAGCCTATTTATGTTCTTCACATGAAAATTACAAATCAATGTAAGTTTAAGAAGTGAGAAAAAGGCGAAGTGAAGCGAAAGTGAAAATAAACTTTCTTTTTAAAAATAAAGAGGTTTGGTTTCTTTTTTTTTTTAAACGAATATTATTCTCAGTTTTTGTTGTTGTTGTTTTTAAAATATTTTTTTCCCGGTGGTGGTTTTTTGTAGGAAAAATGCAAAAAATCGCGGCCACGACAAACGCAGATGCTAGTTTAAAGTGGCAATCGCTGTGTAAAAGAAATTATTAGACTATTGCACGACTTGTAAAATAACTGTACTCTTAATTTTACTTCTCAGTGGTAATTCATTTCTTAGTTTTAGTTTTAGTTAGAGTTTTACGGCGCTTGCAGCACAGTAAAGGCCGAAAATTAGAGGTATTATAAGAGAGTAACAAGCATAAAAAGGAGGAAAGATAAAAGAAGGAGCAAACCCCACGAGAACACTCACCAACACCCACTGACTCATTTATAAAAAGCATGTGCAAATCTGTATAATATAAATTACAGTTTTTCCTGATAATTGTTTAAAGAGTCCCCAGTCCAATTGTCTGAGAGTAGAAGCATGCCATGCTTGAAGTTGGAGACAATCCACTTCTCCCCAGACGCCATGAGTAGAAGATAAAGGCACCTTAAAGAGGGACCGTCGAGAATCTAGTCAACCACACAGGGCTGTTATTTATCCACGATAGAAATTCAAGCATCATGTTAAGACACGCCAAATTCTACCCCCAAAAAAAAGAAAAAAAGAAAAGACAAGACACACGCAAAAAACTATCATGTATTACAAAAACAGGTTGGTTTTTTTTGGCTCTAAAACCGTGTTTTTAACTAAAATCTGAGCCAAAGTCCAATCCATACTCATGGGATAAAATTATAAACGTGAAGCTAATTATGCCTTGGTTCCGATGACGTCACGCGTCTTGCAGTCGTGGAGACCAACCGTCGCGCATCCATCTTTCAGCCCCCGGGGGAGAGTTTATCTGAAGCACGTGATAGTCCCCGTCCCGATGAGAGGCCCCATACTGACATGGTAGAACAAGAGACGGCATTATGAGTCCGCGCAGTTACATGGACAGAGGTGCCAGGGATCTTTGGGGCACCCCCTGGAGCAGACACATAAGGCTGCTCTGTGTTGGCTACAGATAGCAACGGGAGTCATCTGACCCGCAGTTTGGACCATCCTCTTCTTCTTCCTTTTCTTCGCTCGACACTTGGGCTACCCCTCTCATTAAGCAAAATCTTGAGTGTTGGTGAAAAATGAGGGGGAGAGAGAGGGCTCTTCGTTTTGCCTATATTCCCACTACCCTCCCCCTCCCCTCCTGTAACCTTCGTCCAACGCATGCCTTTGCTTCTTGGTTGAGCCATAAGTAGGACTCCTCACGTTTCATTTGCAAAGGGAGATAAAGAAAATATAATCACATCAAGTGTTGTCGACAGGGTTATCACATTTTTCTTTAAGAAGAGTTTTTGTCTAGGCGTGGACTTCGCTTGTCTTGCAAATTTGTGGCTTTAGAAGAGAGAGAGAGAGAGAGAGAGAGAGAGAGAGAGAGAGAGAGAGAGAGAGAGAGAGAGAGAGATACATCTCTAATTATAGCTATATTCAGGTCCGTGTCGCAGGACGGGCCCTCTTTCTCTTTCTTCTTCTCCGGCGCAGGTTGGGTGCGGCGCACACCGGAAAGCGAGCTCCCCTCGCCCACAGCTCCAGTGAATATTTATTCTTCGGATTGTCCCTCGTGTTCACTCTCAGGGGCTCGTCCCTCTTACTTTTTTTTTATTAACAAGGAAGAGATAAAGTTTCGTTTCATTGTATAGTTTTACACTTTATTGAATTGTATTTCAGGTGAGACGTTTCTCAATAGTTCAGGTGCAATGTGGTTGTGATTCAAAATCCTGGACTGTAGTGGGTACATAATTTTTCTACCTGTTTTAGACTCAAGTCAAGACTAAAATCAAACACCTTTTAGAAGACCATTTATTTCACCAGACACCGTGCCAAACTGTTGAAAGCTAATATTTGTTCATATTTATATACATTCCTCAACTGAACCGCACTGGTGTTAACTCTCAACATCAGCATGGCCCCGTGTAGTTTTATGATGAAGGCCTTCCTCCCCTGCGTTGCCTTTGTGTTTTTAACATTGGTTCAGCAAGACTCTGTGGACGCTGTAGCTTTGAACTTATTTTACCCGTTCGGCCCCGAGGTAAGCGACAGTACGCTGAGACCGGGCGATGACATCAGCTCTCCGGAGATCGACCTCGACGAAGACATCGTTTTCTACAATAAGTCCTACAGGAGCCTATACGTAAGTACATAATATCGCAACATTCTTTTAGTTTACTGCACCTGCTTCGTTGTCTCTCTCGTGCTTTCTGCTGCTTCTACTTTTTTTAGTCGCACCCTTACCATGAGCTGTTCCTGACAAACTGTTTCTGTTATCTTGCTGACTCGCGGTTAATTACAACTTAGCTTTATGCTAACCAACCACAATAGAAAGCAGAGCCATTATGATCACACATTAAGGATTCAAGGAATCACAAATATAAATCCCTTCAAAAGAAAACAGTAGATTGGATCATATTAGAAAGGGTACACATTAATCCTTTTCTCCCTGTGTTCTCAACCGGTTTCTGAAGCATGCCCTTGAAAACTTTGTGCGAAATTAAATACCCTCTCTTTGAACAATGATTTACTGCTGCTGTCACGCGATATAAATGAACTTAAAATAAATCTTATCAGCCAGTGCATGTAATACAGAAAGGAGAGGAAACGGGTGGGCCGTTTTTGAGAATGCACAATCTTGACTGTGGTTTTGGAATTTGTGGACTGTACAGTTGTTTGTTGTCATTTAGATTGTTTTATCCATAGACTATCTTTTACGGGAAGTATTTTGATGCGCCATGTAACCTTTTAGAACCTGAACAATACAGGAGAATACTTAGGATCGGCAACCTTCTAGAGAACAAGGTTTTTCAGTGGGATGTGCCGTGTATTTTTCCCGAATTGTTAGAGAAAGATAATATAGTCGTGGACAGGGAGTACTTTTCCTCCAAAGACTATGGCCCATCGGGTTTAGTTGTTATCAATCCTCTGTCCCAAAAGTGTCAAGTCAGCAATATCTGCCACGCATGGTGGAACACTGAAAGATGAATTATATTAGTCCGTTTCAGATACATAAAGCGTTTGACACGATTGTAAGCAAAGTTTAAAAAGTGAAATAGTATGATGATGATGATGATGATGATGATGATGATGATGATGATGATGATGATGAT